CGCTTTATAAATAAACGGAATTTAATTAAATTGAATACTGAGTTTTGCTATTGCGATAAAATTTGCATTATATTGTGCATCTCTATAGTAATTTAAAGGATACTATTTTTGCCCTCCATGTAAATTCAGAAACAACCTAGTGGAGTTTGTTGGCTTCCACACTCTTAAATTGGGACAATATAATGGTGATAACTGATATCTGCAACCAACATTTAAATTCTCCTCAACATGAGCTAAACTTCGAGCAGGCCTTCACTTCCCACTGCTGATGAAAGAGCTGCCTACTGTAGATCCAAATGATGACATGGAAAAGATCAGGGTTTTAAAGCTTCAAAAGAGAAATTAGACAGATTATCTGTGGACCAAGCAACTGTTTTGTTTGTAAGATGTAGTGGAGGCGCGCTACCCCGGCTCCCAGAGCATGCAGCCTGAACATCTCCTTAAGATGCCCAGATAATGTGAACAGTCAGCATTTTTTGGCATCCTTGCAGAAGATGTCAGTGACTGTCTACTGCCAGAGGCGTAGCCAGAAAATGTTAATAAGCATGGCAAGGCAATAACCAATGGATGAAAGCTAATAGGTGTCAGAACCTCAGGGTCCATCTACACTGTTCCAACAGGAACAACCACAACATCCATATTTTGTAAATAAAGACTAACTATACTTTCCTACAGCCTTTCCTAACAAATAGATGCATATATTTAAACAAATGTGGTGATTAATTAAAAGTGTAGAGGACAAAATTTCTGGGGCGAACATCTTCTCCATTGCATTACCAAAAATTCTTCTGCATAAAAAATATATTTATATGTACTAATACCTACATTAAATGGATTTTCAAGTTATTATTGAAGTAGTTATTTATTGATGATTTCACTGATGACTCCTATATGACTTAATTTTCTTTTTACTTCATATAAAACAAAAATATCGTTCTTAAAAGAGCATGAATTCTGTATATATCAACTTTAATGTTAGTATTTTTATGTGCATAAACACATCGTTTTTGTTGTCAAGCAGTTGTTAATATATGAAAAATTCAAATGTTTAATAAGTTTGAACAATCCCCTTTGAGAGTATTACTGATGCCACTGTGGGCAAAAAAAAAAGGTAGGGGTGGCCACTGATTGGCTGAGGGTGGCAATGGCCACCCACATCTACCTCCGCCCCTGTCTACTGCTGTGCATTAGTAGTTCTTCTCCCCATGGCTGCATGATTAGTAATGTGGTCTTAAAGGAATAGTACACCCAAAACATGATTAGCCTTCATTTTCTACTCACCCCCATGCTGAACAACACTCTGGAGTACTTTTTTGATATCTCAAATGCATCTGGAGATCTGGGAGGCTTCTTGCTGTCTGCTGACATTCAAATAATGGAGGTCTATGGCGCCCGAGGCAGAAAGGTCCATAAAAGTCCACAAAAGATGTGTCAATATTCCTCCATACTGCTCGTCCAATGTATTCCAAGTGTCCTGAGTGGGTAGCGTCCATAATTTACTCGAAACGAAGTCATTTAGAATGTTTTTAGAGCATAAACAGTAGTGTATAGGATTTCCTGAAAGCTCGTTCACGAGTCTACGGAAACCGCGGCAGACCAAACCAGATGAAAGTGCGCATTCAGCTCGGCAAAGAACTCATGCTCTTCCTCAACACTGAAGTCCTCAGACATTTTTCTTTCGTTGTTTCTTTCTTTGCACAGGTAAACAGCACATTTCTTCTTCTACGCTTGCATTATCGGCAGAGCAGACGCAGAATGCGCACTTTCATCTGGTTTGGTCTGCCGCGGTTTCCGTAGACTCGTGAACGCGCAGGCGCGCGCTTTTAGGAAATCCTATACACTACTGTTTATGCTCTAAAAACATTCTAAATGACTTTGTTTCGAGTAAATTATGGACGCTACCCACTCAGGACACTTGGAATACATTGGACGAGCAGTATGGAGGAATATTGACACGTTTTTTGTGGACTTTTATGGACCTTTCTGCCTCGGGCGCCATAGACCTCCATTATTTCAATTTCAGCAGACAGCAAGAAGCCTCACAGATCTCCAGATGCATTTGAGATATCAAAAAAGTACTCCAGAGTGTTGTTCAGAAGGGGGTGAGTAGAAAATCAAGGCTAATCATGTTTTGGGTGTACTATTCCTTTAAAGAAACGTTTCTTTATGACAGACAGTGGCGGTTCTACACCAAATGTTCCAGGGGGCTGAAGGGGGGGTCAGCGTGTGGGGGCACAGAAAAGCATGAAGCAAAATAAAGGGGCAAGGTATTCAAATATATTAAAAGAGCTGCTTGAAGGGAAATTTCTTCAATTAGGTTTAACTGAAAATATTTATTTTTGGCTCAAAAATGTTCATTCGGATTATCGTTAAAATCAAAATAAAAAAGCAACTCAAGAAATTTTAAGTATATAAATATTTTTTTAAAAATCAAATAAAGGTATTATTTGGAATAGGTCAATATACTTTCATCATTTAGGAATTTTATATATTTTTAACTTAATTTAAGTTAAAATTATAGTTTTCTATGAAATAAGAATTAGAACTCAATAAAAACTGATAAATTCAGCTGTAAAAGTTTGAGTATTTTTTTTATTTGTTTTGAAAAAAAAAAACGACAGATGAAAACTGGGATCCTATCTCAATATCACTGAAGCTATCACCTTATTGCTTTTAAATAATTGGTAAAACTGAATTTTTTTAAAGAAAAAAATTAAATAGATCCAAAGGACCTAACAGAAACCATCCTGCTCCAGCGCATATCATCATTAGAATTTCTCTTAGTATTATGTCTTTAGTACAGGGGCCACAACAAGGGCCAGGACATGATCTACAGGGGCACTGGCCCCAATTGGCCCCTGTTTAGAACCACCCATGGTAAAATGGTAAAATCTATCACTATTTATAATTATTGAAAAGTAAAGGAACTTTGTAATGAGCAGCAGTCATGTCCCATTTTACCTGATCTGAACTCTGTATTGAGTGCAGAACCTCTGTGCACTGACAGATCATCCATGGACCTCCTCAGAGGGCCTGCCTTCCCCCCACAGCCCTTCAGGTAGGGGGGATGGTGGTCCGGACTCCCCCCGCTGCTCCCGTCCCCTCCGTCCCGGGGCGGCACCGGCCCGCTCAGGCTGGACTGGCTGTCGATGGAGCTCCGGGAGCCCGCTCCGTTCCTCTCCTCGTCCAACATGAGGACGATCTCCTTCAGCTCGGAGTTCTCCGCCCTCAGCGCCTCCTGCCCGGCCTCCAGCTCGGTCAGCTTCTGCTGGTACAGCCCCAGCTCCCTCCACAGCACGCCGGCCGTGTAGCGGCCGAAGCGCTGCCACTCCCGGGACACCTTCCTGTCCTTCTGTCGGTCGTCGTCCAGGAAGCAGCAGAGCTCCCGCAGCTCCTGGTTATCCTCCTGCAGCTTCTGGTTCACCTCCTTCAGGCTCCGGATCTCCTGGAGGTGGACCTGCAGGCTGCGGTTCACCTCCTTCATCAGTTTCCCATGCTCCAGCATCAGGTCCTTGTTGCGGTTCTGCAGAGCCCGCAGCGTTCGGATCAGGTCCTCCTTACCGAACCTCTGTAGGTCCTGGTCTGGGAGCCGGATCAGGTCCTCCATGTCCCAAAAGAGCAGAAAGTCTCCCAACAGGTCTAGAACATCTAAGTTATTATACAACCCAGGTCCATCCTGCGCAGGGAACCGAATCAGAACCAGAGGAAGTGAAGATGATTAAGCAGAGAAAATGACAGCCGGTTCCGAAAGTCCGAACATCTCAGATCAGAGTTTGCTCCTGATCCGGACTGAGCCTGACAACACGCACTGCTGTGAGAAACAGCGGCCTCTACAGGTAGAACCTGGGAAGGCACCCTTATAAAGAGGGGCGGTTCAGGAGATTCCAGACAGGAGGAAAGCTGTAGTTCCTAGGGCTTCAACACAGGGGCGGAGCTAGATGGGGGGGCAGGGGTGGCCATACCCAATCTGCTGCCACCTCTACAGTTTTTCCCATCTAAAGGCTGATTTATACTTTGAAACTAGGTTGTCTGTGTAGGTGTCAGTGAACACAAAGAACACCTCTCCCAAATGACAGGTGACTGCAGACAATGCCGCAGACAGGAGGCCGACTTATTTTGTTTTTATGACCGCAATTGCAGAAAACAACTCGTGAAGTTGGACTAGGAGAGCACGGTGCACAACCCTTTTTCCACCTGAATCCACGCTCTTTTTCGCCTTCATGTCCCTCCCTTGTCGGACAAACTTTCCCCTCTTCCTCACCGCCTCGGCCCTATCTAGACCCACAGTTAGTTCATAAAATAGCGCAGACCACGCTTCAAAATTTTGCATAACTCAAAAATGTCTGCGTCAAGCTCACTGCGACACACTGCTGCTGGGAGGATAACAAACCCTTAATACAGATGGTGGCAGCAGTAATACTCTCAAGCATGAATATTCAAAACATTTAAATTTTTTGTGGTTAATTATACAAATCAATATACTAAAATCAAAGATGATAAATACAGAATTCATGCTTTTTTCAGAACTAGATTTTGTGTTATATGGGATAAAGAGAAGATGAGGTGTCTCTGCAAGTCACCTAGGAGTCAATTTTAATAAAAACGTATCAAATAATCAATTTATGTAGATATTAGTGCTTGTAAATAACAATTTTATGCAGAATGTTTATTGATATAAGTAGGTAAGTAATGACGATGGAAAAGATTGACGCCCCAGATTTCAAACGATATCAAATATACCTTTTATTTAGAAAGCACGGATGTTTAAATATATGNAGAAACCATCCTGCTCCAGCGCATATCATCATTAGAATTTCTCTTAGTATTATGTCTTTAGTACAGGGGCCACAACAAGGGCCAGGACATGATCTACAGGGGCACTGGCCCCAATTGGCCCCTGTTTAGAACCACCCATGGTAAAATGGTAAAATCTATCACTATTTATAATTATTGAAAAGTAAAGGAACTTTGTAATGAGCAGCAGTCATGTCCCATTTTACCTGATCTGAACTCTGTATTGAGTGCAGAACCTCTGTGCACTGACAGATCATCCATGGACCTCCTCAGAGGGCCTGTCTTCCCCCCACAGCCCTTCAGGTAGGGGGGATGGTGGTCCGGACTCCCCCCGCTGCTCCCGTCCCCTCCGTCCCGGGGCGGCACCGGCCCGCTCAGGCTGGACTGGCTGTCGATGGAGCTCCGGGAGCCCGCTCCGTTCCTCTCCTCGTCCAACATGAGGACGATCTCCTTCAGCTCGGAGTTCTCCGCCCTCAGCGCCTCCTGCCCGGCCTCCAGCTCGGTCAGCTTCTGCTGGTACAGCCCCAGCTCCCTCCACAGCACGCCGGCCGTGTAGCGGCCGAAGCGCTGCCACTCCCGGGACACCTTCCTGTCCTTCTGTCGGTCGTCGTCCAGGAAGCAGCAGAGCTCCCGCAGCTCCTGGTTATCCTCCTGCAGCTTCTGGTTCACCTCCTTCAGGCTCCGGATCTCCTGGAGGTGGACCTGCAGGCTGCGGTTCACCTCCTTCATCAGTTTCCCATGCTCCAGCATCAGGTCCTTGTTGCGGTTCTGCAGAGCCCGCAGCGTTCGGATCAGGTCCTCCTTACCGAACCTCTGTAGGTCCTGGTCTGGGAGCCGGATCAGGTCCTCCATGTCCCAAAAGAGCAGAAAGTCTCCCAACAGGTCTAGAACATCTAAGTTATTATACAACCCAGGTCCATCCTGCGCAGGGAACCGAATCAGAACCAGAGGAAGTGAAGATGATTAAGCAGAGAAAATGACAGCCGGTTCCGAAAGTCCGAACATCTCAGATCAGAGTTTGCTCCTGATCCGGACTGAGCCTGACAACACGCACTGCTGTGAGAAACAGCGGCCTCTACAGGTAGAACCTGGGAAGGCACCCTTATAAAGAGGGGCGGTTCAGGAGATTCCAGACAGGAGGAAAGCTGTAGTTCCTAGGGCTTCAACACAGGGGCGGAGCTAGATGGGGGGGCAGGGGTGGCCATACCCAATCTGCTGCCACCTCTACAGTTTTTCCCATCTAAAGGCTGATTTATACTTTGAAACTAGGTTGTCTGTGTAGGTGTCAGTGAACACAAAGAACACCTCTCCCAAATGACAGGTGACTGCAGACAATGCCGCAGACAGGAGGCCGACTTATTTTGTTTTTATGACCGCAATTGCAGAAAACAACTCGTGAAGTTGGACTAGGAGAGCACGGTGCACAACCCTTTTTCCACCTGAATCCACGCTCTTTTTCGCCTTCATGTCCCTCCCTTGTCGGACAAACTTTCCCCTCTTCCTCACCGCCTCGGCCCTATCTAGACCCACAGTTAGTTCATAAAATAGCGCAGACCACGCTTCAAAATTTTGCATAACTCAAAAATGTCTGCGTCAAGCTCACTGCGACACACTGCTGCTGGGAGGATAACAAACCCTTAATACAGATGGTGGCAGCAGTAATACTCTCAAGCATGAATATTCAAAACATTTAAATTTTTTGTGGTTAATTATACAAATCAATATACTAAAATCAAAGATGATAAATACAGAATTCATGCTTTTTTCAGAACTAGATTTTGTGTTATATGGGATAAAGAGAAGATGAGGTGTCTCTGCAAGTCACCTAGGAGTCAATTTTAATAAAAACGTATCAAATAATCAATTTATGTAGATATTAGTGCTTGTAAATAACAATTTTATGCAGAATGTTTATTGATATAAGTAGGTAAGTAATGACGATGGAAAAGATTGACGCCCCAGATTTCAAACGATATCAAATATACCTTTTATTTAGAAAGCACGGATGTTTAAATATATGCGTAGGAAAGTATAGTTTGTCTTTATTTAGAAAATATGGATGTTTTGCTTGTTAATTTTCCTGTTGGAACAGTGTAGATTGACTCTGAGGTTCTGGCGCCTATCGTCTTTCGGCCACCCCTCAGTATAAATGGGTTATTGCCTGGCCACGCTTATAAAAATGTTCTGGCTACGCCTCTACTTCAGAAAGGGGTCCGTGACCCCTAGGGGGTCCACGGAGGTACTGCATGGGGGTCACGAAAGTTTTGGTTGATTAGACTTGGCCACTTGGCCATGGCCACCCTTAGCCAATCATTGCCCACCCCTGTGACCACCGCTGCCATTTTCTTCCCTCTAATACAGATGGTGGGAGCAGTAATACTCTCAGGTGGAATATTCAACACATTTACATTTTTCATTTATTAACAATTACTTGGCAGCAAAAACACTTATGCACATCAATAAACTAACATTAAAGATCATAAGTACAGAAATCTCTTTTCAGAACTAGATTTTGTGTTATATGGGGTAAGGAGAAAATGCAAGTAATCTCAGAGTCTTCAGTTAAATCATACATAAATATTTTAATAAAAACATATTAAATAATCAATTTATCCATTGAATGACTTTATTGATCTCACAGTGGAGAAATTTACTTTATGTAGATATTAGTACTTTTAAATATCAATTTTATGCAGAGTGATTATTGATAAAACTAGGTAAGTAATGACAATGGAAAAGATGTTTACCCCAGAACTTACACCTGAAAGAATTTTATCCACTATACCATTTATCTAGGAAGTGTTGATGCTTAAATATATGCATCTATTTATTAGCAAAGGCTGTAGGGGAGTATAGTTTGTCTTTATTTAGAAAATATGGATGTTTTGCTCGTTAATTTTCCTGTTGAACAGTATAGATTGACCCTGAGGTTCTGGCGCCCATCCACTTTTGGCCACCCCTCAATGTACATTGGTTATTGCCTGCCCACCCTTATAAAAATTTCTGGCTACGCCTCTGTGTGGACCTCGGCTCGATTTACCAATTCCAGCCTCAGTCCATCTCTTTAGAAGTTTCAAAAGTTCCTAAATGGATTGTATTCATCAGTGGTTGTTCAAACTTTTCATATCACGCCTTCCTTTCAACCAGTTTTCTATGAATTTATTAAAGTATGGCACTATACACTCACCGGCCACTTTATTAGGTACACCTGTCCAACTGCTCGTTAACA